GCCCATGCTGAAAGAGTTAATGAAAGAGACAAAGACCTCAACATGTGTGCCAATATTTACTATTTCTTGTATCAAAAATAATTTTTTTAATACAGAAAATGTGACTTTTATGACTGCTTACATGGGTAACTGCTTCATTTTTGAGGCCCATGATTCTGTTCAAGCATCTTCATGCACCTAACTTTGACTCAGAGAGAGACAAGCATTGCTAGGATTAAGTTTCCTAGCCCTTTTGTCATATATTGCAAACAAATACATTTTTGTTTCAAAAGTTATGTACATAGTCTCTATTAGATCAACAGAGTGAAAACTGGAATATAGCAAATTTGTAAACTATCTAGGGAAGGGCAATATTTAAGGGGTGTAATCACACTCCTGCAGGTGTCTTAGGAGTGAAAAATTTCACTTGCTTGCCTTTTTCAAGCAAGAATAACTGACACTACAGACTGTAGTAACAAAGTTTTATCTTTACACAGTTTGTAGAATTATACATCAGTTAACCCTTTCACTGCAGCTGAGATGTATATGGGAAATATACGTATATGAGTTAAAGAACCAAACTGCCTTGACTTAATGGAAATATGGTACCTGTCTTCAGATTTCCCCATATGGATTTCAATACTCAGAACTTCCCCTAGCCTTTTAAAGCATACCAGTTTTGATAAGTTTTCCTGTGCACTAATACTCTAATACATTTTGAGAAGTAATTGCATTCCTTAAAATTAGTTATATACCAAAAGCAACTGTTGTTGTTGTCCACCCCCATTCTAAGAATAGTCTACACCATTTATGTGAATCTTGTGTGGTAATGTAAAAAAAGTGCAAACACTACGCATGACACTGCACACTTGTTCATAGTTGTTCTGTCACTATATTTTCAGGCAGGAACTGGAGCAGCCACGTCACTTGCATGTTCATAGATTAAGAAGATTGACAAGAAGGTTGATCTAGTCTAGATAATCATCAAAGTTTAGATCTATCTTTCAATCAAGCTTCTCAGTTCAAGCACAAAACATCTCATCACTTGCATTAGCTAAGATTTATTTGCATTCTGTATTTCAACAGCAAACAAAAACTTGTGAAGAACATTTGGTATTTAAGAATTTCCAATGTATTTTTTATCACATCACTCTTCCTTGCTCATATTCAGTGAGAGCATAGCAATGACAGTGTGTGTATATTGTGGTTAACAATTAAAAAAAGCTGAATCACCTACTTCCAACCAATGTGTTTCCTTATTGGTGGTCATGTGATGATCATGTCATTTAGGTGGATTATAAGTTGTTTTTTCTGGGGAAAATTGCAGTGCTTCATATCAATTAAGAAAAAATTAGCTTTAATAGTACAAGAGGCTCTATAAAAAAAAACTTAAATTTGACATGTTTTATTAAAGCATTTTAACTGAAATATAGGTATTTTATCATATTCTTATGTACCAGAGCAGTTTAATAAGTATTTCTAACATGTAACGAGTGCACTTGTAAGTGGTATTAACTCTTTCAGCACAGGCTCGGTTCCTGGGACCAACATTGCAACCATTATGTGCTATAACTTTTAAATTACTAAGCTAATGTTAACAAAATATGGCAGATTATCAGTAAACATTGCAATGCTTTCATACACAGGATATCAAATTTTTTTATTAAGTCTTAAAGTTTGTAAAGCAATATTTTTCTCATGCCTTTTTTTTCTTCTCATAAATGTTTAGACTAAATAGCTTAAATCCCATAATATTATACATTTATATATATTTATTATTTTTATTATATTGGCCTTTCAGCCATGCCTGGCTAACAATACAGAAGTTAAAATGATGTGGCTCACGTGCACTCATGTTACCGTATCAAATAACATAAAACTGACCTTTGGTCTGTACAAAGTAACTTGTCTTGGCTGTGTTTTAGTAGACTAGTATTTTGTAAAATACAGTCAAATTTAAATTAATATATATTATACATGTATACAGATTTTTGCTATTCTGAAATAAGTTCTTAAACTTATTTTTCTTAAAACATAGAACAATAAATAAAGAAGTAAATCAAACAATTATCTCTTCTAGTTATAACCGTTGTACTCGGTTGCTACTTGACATAGGTTGCTACGCATTTAAAAATTTTGCACGTGGAGGATATGAAATAATTTTTTTTAGGTTTATATACACATTTGAATAACTAAAAAAATCATAAGTTACTACATCAATACCATAGAATTCCACTATAATTTATCATGC